TGCTCAGAGCCCTGTCCAACCTGACCTGGGATGTTTCCAGGGATGGGAACATCTACCACCTCTCTGGGCAACCTGGGCCAGTGTTCCACCACCCTCATTGTCACAGTGTCCTCCTTGTATGTAGTCTGAATCTGCCCTCTTTTAGTTTAAAATCATTTCCCTTTCTTGCAACAGGCCCTGCTAAAAAGCCTGTCCTGATCTTCCCTATAAGCCCCTTCCTTTCAGTCCTGGCCGGCTGCAATAAGGTCTCCCTTGAGCATTCTCTTCTCCAGAACACCACCAACTCTCCCAGCCTATCCTCATGGCAGAGCTGTGCCACCCCTCTGAGTATCTTTGTGGCCTCCAACAAGTCCATGAGGGCATGTCTGAGTACCCACTCAACAGTAAACAAGCACCTACAACCCATGCACACAGTCTAAGCCTGGTTCCATTTTGTTTCCTTGAATTTTATTCCATTTTGCATAAAATTCTAGCTGTTTCCAGCCAAAATTACATAGCAGACAAAGAATAACAGAGGAGGAGAGATGATGCAGGAATCCTTGTCAAGGAGGCAGCATGAGCCAGTGGTAGAGAACCATGAGGGGGACACTGGCTCACAGTGAGGTTATAGATCACAGACAAGTGCTGTGCCAGTGAGAGCAGCAGGTAAGAAGTGAGACCTGGGACTTGAACAACAGCCCCCCAGAGCACCCACACTGGTTGCTCAGGGCAAGTAGCCTCAGAGGCAGTTGCCTCATCCTTTTCAGCCCAGCCAAAAGTCAGGTCATTTTGCAGGTAAAGCCTATATATTGGCGCTCCCCAAAACAGCTGCTGCAGCAAGTTTTAAAGCCCATTTCTCCTTTGGTTTAAGTGCAAAAATCAAACAGTTCACATGCAATTTTCATAAAGACATTACAAAGGAGGTATCTCTCCCAGCTCAACCCAGGGCTGGAGTTAAAGGTGATTCATCTGAAGAAGAATGGCCTTGGCAGTACCCTTGTGATGTTCAGGCTCTTGGGCCAGAGGTTTTGGGGTTTACCTCTCATCATAACAAAGCCATGTCAGATTTAGGCAAAAGCTAAATTTAAGTTTCTTCTACTGCTTTTTTCCTGATGAGAAAACATCATCTAGGACTAACACTGCCCTGCCTGCCTTGGTTTCTTTGCTGTAGCAATGGTCATGGTACGCTACAGCCCAGCACCTGGTTTTCCTGCAACGGGAAAGGTGCTTCTGCATGGCTTTGTTCCCCCTCCATCCTTCGGTATCAAGAGCACCCACTCCTGCCCCAGGCCTTGAAAGGAGCATCCAGCTGCACAGCCTCTGAATTCAGCCGTGAGCTGGTGGCAGCCATGCTCTATGGAGCATGTTGGACCAAGACTTTTCCTCCCAAGACCACCCGTGGCTCCCCATTGTGCGCATGGCCAGTGAGGGACCAGGATTGGGAAAAAAACCACCCCAGATGGCACCATGCAGTTAAGAAGTAGCAGATCTTGGTACCAAATTGCTCTTAAAAACCCTGTTTACAGCACAGAGCTTCCCTGAGCCCCTTTCAAGCTAGGGGACCTCTGCTAGCAACAGGCTTGGACAGCGGATGCAAGACAAACTCAGCTATGCAGTTACGGTGTGAGAGTGTTTTTAAGTTCTCCCACAGCTTACAGCACTCCAAGTAGAAGAGGAAGCCGAGCTGGTGTACAGGCAGTGGCCTGTGAACCTCCCCTGGCTGCCTGCATTGAGTAACTCCAGCACCACTTCCCCTCCAATGCCCAAAGTTCCTTCTCACTGTGCGCAAGGTGCCATGTAAATTACATAAAATTAACACCCCCCACCCCCCCCAAAAAATTAAAAATCAAGAACGAGGTGCTGAAAAGGGAAGAGGGCGAGTCCCTCTGTGCACGAGGCTCAACCTCAGATGTACGATACTCATCTGGATCACGATGCACAGACTCCTCCAAGGCATGGACACGCTTAGTGAGATGCAGCCTCTCCCTCATTCATAATGTTTGTACATTCAATTCAACAGGTGAACGTTTCCTTCCTGGGGCAGACAGCGGTTGTTCAAGGGACCTGCTCACCAAGACACTGCTGCTGCTACAGTTCTGCTCAGCAGGGACAGGCAGGTCATGCTGCTACTGTTTAGTGTCACATCTGCTGTTGAAAAGATGTTTTATGATGCCCGGGTTTGCCAAGGTGGAGATGTCCCCCAAGTCTTGGTCATTTTTGGCAATCTTCCTTAATATCCGTCTGGTAATCTTTCCTGTAACGACAGCCACGAAAGGAAAGCAGGAATCAGGATCTCTCCAGCAACCTTAGCAGGAGTGGGGAGTGCCCAGACCTGCAGCATCCTGTTTGCCCTGAGGTTGCCTCCCTCCAGATTTGAGTGGCCCTGGAAAAGCAATTTAGAGCCAATTTCCTTCCACTGGCAGGAACTACTCAGTGCTCCCCAGCCTGTCACTGGCCTCTCACCTGAGCGGGTTTTGGGCAGGCTAGGGGCATGCTGGATGTAATCAGGCGTTGCTATCGGTCCAATTTTTTCTCGTACTGAAAAGAAAAAAAAAAAAGATGTTTTCATTGTAGGCATTAGGAGATACCACACACATCCTTTTCAGGCAGGATGACGAAGTTAAGACATGCAAAGCCCAGCTCCTGGAGAACCTGGTAGGGCACTGCTTAGGGGTGCTGCCCCTGAGCTTCCGGGCTGTGGGAGGGGGCAGCAAGACCTGCAATGCCAACAGGGCCATAGGCACATCTTCCCAAAGGCAAGAGCACTCCATTTTCAGTTCTCTCCATCTTCAAGAGACCTTTATAATGGCTACACCAATCACTATTGCCATTTTGATAGAGCAAGGACTGATTCCCTGTTGGGTTCCTACAGAGAAGGAAGTGCCATGGGTCTGTTTCACGTATTAAATGCTGCAGTCTGTTGTGGCAATGAAAGAGCTCCCTTGAGACCAGAGCACAAACGCCCAATACTACCCCAAAGCAACCAAACGATCCTCACAGCAAGTTGAAATCTGCTGGGGAGAACCGTAGGAGCCATGCCCACACAGGAAAGCACTGTTGCAAACAAAAGCCTTCTGGGTAGCCTGGCTGTTCAGGCGGCTGCCAACTCCCAAGAGGTAGAGATGGCACCACGTGAGCAGCCAAAGGCCAG